TGAGATGCTTCAGTTAATATAAATATTAGAGAGAGAGAGAGAGAGAGAGAGAGAGAGAGAGAGAGAGAGAGAGAGAGAACTAAGTTGGTCAACCTGTAATGTCTTTATCATGAGAATGGTGATAAAATTCTGACATCCAATATGTATCCATAGACAGTATTCACCTGTTTATGATCTCCCCTACAATGTTTGCAAGTTTGTTTTGATCCACTGCAGCCAAACTGGTTTCGACAGGCAGCAACAAAGCCAGCGTTACAGCCATCCAGGAGAGAAAAGCCATCTGTTTTTAACAAACATAAAGGATAATAAACAGGTTTATTCACTGCTGCATGTCATTGTTAAGGGTTCTCCACCACATACCATGTGCTACATGTACAGCCACCTATAGTTTTTCTACATTTAATATTAGGTTTACACAAATATTGAGGAAACATTAAAAACATTGGAAAAACATCACTAAGGACTGAAGGTTGCAGTTATATATAAAATTGTCACGATTTTTTCTTGTTTAGTTTTATATTTTGTTAATTTCAGTGTTTAGAATTAATTTCCTGTTTTATTTTGCATTAATCCCTTCTCTTGATTGTATTGCTACTGTGCATTTACCTTGTTACGTCTTTAGAGTTTCCTGTTTTATTTCTTCTCCTCGTGTTTCTTTATGTCCTGTATGTGTTGTGTAATGGAAAATGAATTTTGCTGATGTGATGCTGATATAATTGCTTGACATTTGCTAAAAGAACGCTGTTCAAATCGCACCTGGCCCACACATATCCTGTTTACCAGAGGCCTATACGTGACCTTCTGCTTTTCTTTGAAAAAAAATAACATAAACTGCCTAGACTTTGTTTAGCGCCAAACTCTTAATCTGCCCTACAACAGAGTTTGTCTATCTCCACCCCTCCCTTTTGATACAATGTATAAAAGTGTGTTTTCCCTTTGCCGTCTTCGATCTTTCCCAGACTGCTGTAGTACTCTGTTTTGTTTGCTCCTTCTTGCAAGAATAAAGATCACAGATAGACAGATCATTGGTAGAGAAGATTCATTTGCACCGGACACACAATAAATAATGTTACATTCTTGAGTTCTCTGTGTGTCTTTTGTGTTTCCTGCTTTTCCTGTAGGTCTTGTCCCCAGTGTTTCTTGTCTTCCTCCTTTTGTCTGGTTTCTCTCCATTTTGATTGCCCTAATTGTCTTCACCGTATTGCAGAGTCTCTTATTACCTTAAATTTTACATTTTTTTAATAATAAAACTATGTACTTTTTTTCTTTTGTAATGGTAAATAAGTTCTATCAAACAGAGCATTTCAACAATTTAGCCACATGAAAAGAAGGACACATCTGGACTTGGTAAACTTTAGCAAATGAGCTCAAGAAGCAAACACACCGTATCTAACCTGGAGGCATAGTTATTGCCGAAAGAGGACATCTTCAAAGCAGTGTGATGTCAATTTTGGGAAATTTAGGGACATTCCCAGTGTCATTATCCTGCTTGATGCCTGCAGCCACAGTGGCTTCTGTTGCATAGAGTTTTACTCCAATGTGGCTTATTCACATTTGTTTCAGTTGAAAAGATTTTTAAAAACTTGAAGAAGTCGGGAAAAAATTTGACTTCTGTATAGCAAAAAAACAAAAACACTTTTGGGGCAAAGACAAGAGGTAATTTCTATCTGCTATTCATACAATACTTGTGTCCGACAAAAAACTTTATGTCATCTAGAAATTGGAGTATTTTATGTGCTAAGTGCTATTTCAAAATCCACATGCCATAACTTTAAACTGATAAATTAAGCCATATATATAAATGCAATGCAACTTATTTACTCAATCTTTCTGCCCATGATGATATTTTGCTTGATGTGTTAAATTAAAATGAATGAAAAACCCCACCTTGTTTTTTTTATTATGGTATGTACTAAATCAAGTAGAAATCCTACCTGCTTTGATGGAGAAAGACGTCTTACAGATGCTGTGGTCTGTGTTTTGTTCCGAGTGAAAAGTGCTACAAATGCATTTCGAAGGAAGTGGTATTTTTAAGAGCAGAGCCATGGGCAAACCCCAGAGGCTCCATGCCCTTATTTGGACTTGTCTTAGAGATTATATCTAGAAGGAAGCACTGAATAAAAACATTGTGCAGTTGGATTTAGGTAGTTAAACATTGACTGGACCAATTGTGCTATCATGTAACTGCTGGCCTGCCTTGGAAGGGTATTTTGGATGGACATTTTCCAACCCTAATCAAGAATCACATTTGGCTGTTTGAAACTTAACTTGAATCATTGGTTCAATTTGTTTTATCTGATCACCACACAACACATCTTTATCACTATCCATTAGTCTCAGTTTAACCTGTAAGGTTCACATTCAAGTAAACAGTTATTGTCAGCAGGAAACCTTTCGAGTCAACTTAGTAAGCGTTAAAAATCACATCAACTTTTTTTACAATATTATTAATGTTCCTGAGGGGAATTTTAAGCTGGTTATGAAACTTACTGAAATTAATACTGATGCCTCATTATGATAGGGGTGACCCCATATAGTGAATTTTTGTTCGTCAGAGCCTCAGTCAACTGCAAGTCTCCAGCACAAGGATCTTTCCATTCCAACTATATGGGAGTACTTAATGTCTAATTTTACATAGATTTGCCCGTTTTCTCCAAATAATTCATGGCTCTCATAGCCTATCTTGGTGTAAATAACACCTTATTATTACTTATATGCAGTTCTGAAAACCACTCGTACTTTAAAACAATCTCCTACATGTCTGCATGAAGAAATCACCCCGAAGTAATGATTGAAGCAGCCATATGGTTTGAGAATTTCATTGGCTACAAAAAATGTCAGTCCAACAACCAATTGGTGACATCACTGACACATCCATGTTTTATACATTCTATTGTCCAGGTCAGTCTTACTTTATATCTCCTAGTTTGTCTATTTGCATAGTCTGCGTGTATAACCATTTTTCAGGCATGTTTTTCATTTCCCAAAGATGCATTTGATATTAACTTTTGCATGTGTTTTCTCATAGTTGTTTTTTACATTTCAGCTGTTGCCAATTATTTGCCTATGTTGGCCATCCTACATTGCAGTATATCTGCAGTATTTTGGTATTCAGTGCACTGTGTCATAGTATTGATAATTGACTGTGATGTTGCATAGTGTATTTTTATTTTCCATTGTTTTATGAAATGCACATGCATGAAGAGTGGCACCATCTTTCTGCCACTTTCTATCTTGTGAATAAAGAATAAGGCAGAGCTTTAAGTGAGAGGTGAACAAATGATTTACTGACACACCAGAATCAATGCCAAGCCAAGCTTTAATCAGAAAATAACAGAGCAGTTTTCGAATGGGTAATGTTTAACAAAAGCATATAGTAAGATAACAAAAATACTGAAGATGAGCTGAGCAAATTTTTTTCTTCTGAAGAAATATAGCAAAATGCTGTTTCTTGAAATTTGTTTTGACATAAAATCAGTTTTTACAATCCCACTAGAGCATGTAAGTGCTTAAGAAATATTCCTGTCATATAGGTGTTGCCTTTAAGCCATCTTAAATGAAATATATTTACAACTACTAAATTAAAGGTAATTAAGTTTAAACAAAAAACCCTGATGATCCAAAGCATGGATAAACATTCTTAAGTCATATTCAGACTGCCATCTCAAGCTGCCATATTTATGCCCCTGGACGTAACACCTTCAATCTGAATGTCAAGGGGGCTTAATGGGGGGACAAAGTCATCCCTCCTCTGTACCTTCTTCGGAGGAAGAAACAGAGGGGTTACAGAGGCAAGGCAGTTCTAAAGAGCCGGCAGGGGAGTTAACTACTTACGGCACTTACGTAAACTGCAAAAAAGGGACTATGACTTATTAACAAGCAAATGCAGTCTGTCTCTTTCTGTCTGTCTATGTCATTCATTGTCTCCCTGTTCCTCTAACTCTACCATGTCCTCTGTATCTCCAACCTCCCCTAAACCCACAACCCTTTCTATGTCTCCATGTTCCTCTGACTCTAACATATCCTCTGTATCTCCTGCCTACCTTGACCCTGCTACCCATTCTGTGTCTCCAAGTTCCTCTGACGCTGCCATGTCCTCTGCATCTCCAACCTACCTTGACCCCGCTACCCGTTCTATGTCTCCATTTCCTTTGACCCGGCCATGTCCTCTGTATCTCCAACCTACCTTGGCCCACAACTCTTTCTATGTCTCCATTTTCCTCTGACCGTGCCATATCCTCTGTATCTCCAACCTCCCCTGAGCCACAACCATTTCTATGTCTCCATGTTCCTCTGACTCTGCCATTCCTCTGTATCTCCAACCTACCCTGACTCCGCTACCTGTTCTATGTCTCCATTTTCCTCTGACCCTGCCATGTCCTCTGTATCTCCAACCTACCTTGACCCCACAACCCTTTCTATGTCTCCATGTTCCTCTGACTCTAACATATCCTCTGTATCTCCTGCCTACCTTGACCCCACAACCCGTTCTATGTCTCCATTTTCCTCTGACTGTGCCATATCCTCTGTATCTCCAACCTCCCCTGACCCCACAACCCTTTCTATGGCTCCATGTTCCTCTGACTCTGCCATGTCCTCTGTATCTCCAACCTCCCCTGACCCCAACCCTTTCTATGTCTCCATGTTCCTCTGACTCTGCATGTCCTCTGTATCTCCAACCTCCCTGACCCCACAACCCTTTCTATGTCTCCATGTTCCTCTGACTCTAACATATCCTCTGTATCTCCTGCCTACCTTGACCCCGCTACCCGTTCTATGTCTCCAAGTTCCTCTGACGCTGCCATGTCCTCTGTATCTCCAACCTACCTTGACCCCACTACCCGTTTTATGTCTCCATGTTCCTCTGACTCTAACATATCCTCTGTATCCTGCCTACCTTGACCCACTACCCGTTCTATGTCTCCATTTTCCTCTGACCGTGCCATATCCTCTGTATCTCCAACCTCCCCTGAGCCCACAACTCTTTCTATGTCTCCATGTTCCTCTGACTCTAACATATCCTCTGTATCTCCTGCCTACCTTGACCCTGCTACCCTTTCTATGTCTCCATTTTCCTCTGACGCTGCCATGTCCTCTGTATCTCCAACCTACCTTGACCCGCTACCCGTTCTATGTCTCCATGTTCCTTTGACCCGGCCATGTCCTCTGTATCTCCAACCTACCTTGGCCCCACAACCTTTCTATGTCTCCAAGTTCCTCTGACGCTGCCATGTCCTCTGCATCTCCAACCTCCCCTGAGCCCACAACTCTTTCTATGTCTCCATGTTCCTCTGACTCTAACATATCCTCTGTATCTCCTGCCTACCTTGACCCTGCTACCCTTTCTATGTCTCCATTTTCCTCTGACGCTGCCATGTCCTCTGTATCTCCTGCCTACCTTGACCCCACTACCCGTTCTTTGTCTCCATTTTCCTCTGACCGTGCCATATCCTCTGTATCTCCAACCTCCCCTGAGCCACAACCCTTTCTATGTCTCCATGTTCCTCTGACTCTAACATATCCTCTGTATCTCCTGCCTACCTTGACCCCACTACCCTTTCTATGTCTCCATGTTCCTCTGACTCTAACATATCCTCTGTATCTCCTGCCTACCTTGACCCCACTACCCGTTCTATGTCTCCATGTTCCTCTGACTCTAACATATCCTCCGTATCTCCTGCCTACCTTGACCACAACTCTTTCTATGTCTCCATGTTCCTCTGACTCTAACATATCCTCTGTATCTCCTGCCTACCTTGACCCTGCTACCCTTTCTATGTCTCAAGTTCCTCTGACGCTGCCATGTCCTCTGCATCTCCAACCTACCTTGACCCCGCTACCCTTCTATGTCTCCATGTTCCTTTGACCCGGCCATGTCCTCTGTATCTCCAACCTACCTTGGCCCCACAACTCTTTCTATGTCTCCATGTTCCTCTGACTCTAACATATCCTCCGTATCTCCTGCCTACCTTGACCCCACAACTCTTTCTATGTCTCCATGTTCCTCTGACTCTAACATATCCTCTGTATCTCCTGCCTACCTTGACCCACACTCTTTCTATGTCTCCAAGTTCCTCTGACGCTGCCATGTCCTCTGTATCTCCAACCTACCTTGACCCCGCTACCCGTTCTATGTCTCCATGTTCCTTTGACCCGGCCATGTCCTCTGTATCTCCAACCTACCTTGGCCCCACAACTCTTTCTATGTCTCCATGTTCCTCTGACTCTAACATATCCTCTGTATCTCCTGCCTACCTTGACCCCACTACCCGTTCTATGTCTCCATTTTCCTCTGACCGTGCCATATCCTCTGTATCTCCAACCTCCCCTGAGCCCACTACCCGTTCTATGTCTCCATTTTCCTCTGACCGTGCCATATCCTCCGTATCTCCTGCCTACCTTGACCCCACAACTCTTTCTATGTCTCCATGTTCCTCTGACTCTAACATATCCTCTGTATCTCCTGCCTACCTTGACCCTGCTACCCTTCTATGTCTCCAAGTTCCTCTGACGCTGCCATGTCCTCTGCATCTCCAACCTACCTTGACCCCGCTACCCGTTCTATGTCTCCATGTTCCTTTGACCCGGCCATGTCCTCTGTATCTCCAACCTACCTTGGCCCCACAACTCTTTCTATGTCTCCATGTTCCTCTGACTCTAACATATCCTCCGTATCTCCTGCCTACCTTGACCCCACAACTCTTTCTATGTCTCCATGTTCCTCTGACTCTAACATATCCTCTGTATCTCCTGCCTACCTTGACCCTGCTACCCTTTCTATGTCTCCAAGTTCCTCTGACGCTGCCATGTCCTCTGTATCTCCAACCTACCTTGACCCCGCTACCCGTTCTATGTCTCCATGTTCCTTTGACCCGGCCATGTCCTCTGTATCTCCAACCTACCTTGGCCCCACAACTCTTTCTATGTCTCCATGTTCCTCTGACTCTAACATATCCTCTGTATCTCCTGCCTACCTTGACCCCACTACCCGTTCTATGTCTCCATTTTCCTCTGACCGTGCCATATCCTCTGTATCTCCAACCTCCCCTGAGCCCACAACCCTTTCTATGTCTCCATGTTCCTCTGACTCTAACATATCCTCTGTATCTCCTGCCTACCTTGACCCTGCTACCCTTTCTATGTCTCCAAGTTCCTCTGACGCTGCCATGTCCTCTGTATCTCCAACCTACCTTGACCCCGCTACCCGTTCTATGTCTCCATGTTCCTTTGACCCGGCCATGTCCTCTGTATCTCCAACCTACCTTGGCCCCACAACTCTTTCTATGTCTCCATGTTCCTCTGACTCTAACATATCCTCTGTATCTCCTGCCTACCTTGACCCCACTACCCGTTCTATGTCTCCATTTTCCTCTGACCGTGCCATATCCTCTGTATCTCCAACCTCCCCTGAGCCCACAACCCTTTCTATGTCTCCAAGTTCCTCTGACGCTGCCATGTCCTCTGTATCTCCAACCTACCTTGACCCCGCTACCCGTTCTATGTCTCCATGTTCCTTTGACCCGGCCATGTCCTCTGTATCTCCAACCTACCTTGGCCCCACAACTCTTTCTATGTCTCCATGTTCCTCTGACTCTAACATATCCTCTGTATCTCCTGCCTACCTTGACCCCACAACTCTTTCTATGTCTCCATGTTCCTCTGACTCTAACATATCCTCTGTATCTCCTGCCTACCTTGACCCTGCTACCCTTTCTATGTCTCCAAGTTCCTCTGACGCTGCCATGTCCTCTGTATCTCCAACCTACCTTGACCCCGCTACCTGTTCTATGTCTCCATTTTCCTCTGACCGTGCCATATCCTCTGTATCTCCAACCTCCCCTGAGCCCACAACCCTTTCTATGTCTCCATGTTCCTCTGACTCTGCCATATCCTCTGTATCTCCAACCTCCCCTGACTCCGCTACCGCTTTCTATGTC